TTTGACATTTTCTGCAAATAAATGCTCTAAATGACAATATTTGTATTTGGAATTTGGGAGAAATGTTGTCAGTAGTTTATAGAATAAAACAAAAATGTTATTTTTACCCAAACACATACCTATAAATAGTAAAACCAGAGAAACTGATAATTTTTAAAAAAATTGTCCATTAAAATAACATCAAATTGATCAGAAATACAGTGTAGACATTGTTAATGTTGTAAATGGCTATTTTAGCTGGAAACGGCTGATTTTTAATGGAATATCTACATAGGCTTACATAGGCCCATTATCAGCAACCATCAGTCCTGTGTTCCAATGGCACATTGTGTTTGCTAATCCAAGTTTATCATTTTAAAAGGCTAATTGATCATTAGAAAACCCTTTTGCAATTATGTTAGCACAGCTGAAAACTGTTGTGCTGATTAAAGAAACAATAAAACTGGCCTTCTTGAGACTAGTTGAGTATCTGGAGCGTCAGCAATTGTAGGTTCGATTACAGGCTCAAAATGGCCAGAAACAAATAACTTTCTTCTGAAACTCGTCAGTCTATTCTTGTTCTGAGAAATGAAGGCTATTCAATCGATTTGGATGTGGAGGGTCTGTCATGGTCTGGGGTGGTGTGTCACAGCATCATCGGACTGAGCTTGTTGTCATTCCAGGCAATCTCAACGCTGTGCGTTCCAGGGAAGACATCCTCCTCCCTCATGTTTTACCCTTCCTGCAGGCTCATCCTGACATGACCATCCAGCATGACAATGCCACCAGCCATACTGCTCGTTCTGTGCATGATTTCCTGCAAGACAGGAATGTCAGTGTTCTGCCATGGCCAGCGAAGAGCCCGGATCTCAATCCCATTGAGCACGTCTAGGACCTGTTGGATCGGAGGGTGAAGGCTAGGGCCATTCCCCCCAGAAATGTCAGGGAACTTGCAGGTGCCTTGGCGGAAGAGTGGGGTAACATCTCACAGCAAGAACTGGCAAATCTGGTGCAGTCCATGAGGAGGAGATGCACTGCAGTACTTAATGCAGCTGGTAGCCACACCAGATACTGACTGTTACTTTTGACTGACACATTATTCAATTTCTGTTAGTCAGTCTGTGGAACATGTTCAGTTTATGTCTCAGTTGTTGAATCTTGTTATGTTCATACAAATATTTACACATGTTAAGTTTGCTGAAATTAAACGCAGTTGACAGTGAGAGGACATTTATTTTTTTGCTGAGTTTATATATATATACACACATACATACATACACATATAAATACATACATATACACCTACATACATAATAATACATACATATATATACATATCCTTTTTAAATATATATTTTCCTTTATTACCTTCCAACCCCACCACCCCTCCCCTAATTGGAGTAAACTAGTGAACAACAACGCTTAGGCCTCTACTTCCAGCTTATACGTACTATATACATTTTATGGACTCAGTCAATATAGGCTGTTTGTAATAGGTTAATTACCCTATCTATCTTGTAGCCTATATTCATGACCAAATAGAGCTTGCTTTACTGTCCATTGTGCTGATACAGTGCAGCGGAGATGGGCTACAGATTTCGTGCCAACCTGTCACTTCAAAAGCACTCAATGGTCTCAGTGTCTCGGCATTTGCACTTGATGTTTATTGTGGTATAGCGTGATATAAGCAGAATTCAATATAATTCCAATGCAAGAACCCCCCAAAATTGTGCCCCCTCACCAATTTCAACTGCCCCCTTAGTCACTTTATCCTGGCGCCGGGTCTGTCGACCTCTCATAGCCTAGGTGAGAATTCCACCATTTTGCTTCCACCTATCCAATCCTATGAGATGTACACAAGTAGTTGGAGAGAGAGGGAAATTGATTTGACATGTTTTCTTTGGCAATGTAATTTCTTACACTTTCCATGTCAATAAATCTTCTTGAATTGAACTGAGAGTAGGCGGGTCGGGGGGCTAGCTTGGGGGAGTAGGGGCTAGGGGTCGATTTAGGAGTGACAGGGATGTGGATCTTCCCCTTATTTCACCCAGCTGGCCCCCGGCGCTCATCAATCCCACAGTGCTGCAGTGAGTGTCTCCTCAGCCTCTCTGATTTACAGCACCCAGAGGAAAATGGGCCAGCACAGCCCAACAGTCAATATATCTACTCTCCCGCCATCTCTCTCTATCTCTCCGTTTTTTACGTGAACATTTTAGTCATTTATCAGACGCTCTTATCCAGAGTGACTTAAAGTAGTGATTGCATACATTGTTTTGTACTTTTTTGTTTCTTTTCTTACTGGTCCCCCGTGGGAATCGAACCCTCAACCCTCTCTCTCGCTCTCGCTCTCGCTCTCGCTCTCGCTCTCTCTCTCTCTCAGCCAGTGCCACATTGCATTTGCAGGGGATCAAGCCTGAGCCTCCAGAAAGAGGGAGGAAAAAAGATAAGAAAATGAACCCTAATGAAAACCAGAAGCCCCGTCTCTCTCTCCTTCCCTCACGCTCCCTCTCTCATCATGAACTTGGAAACAGAGAGGAGAATTGAGCTTAATTCAAACCAGCTCTCCACAACGTCAGATGACAAGGCTTTGAAGTGTGTCCGAAAAGCCTTTGAGCCTGACATGTAGGCACGGCTAGCATTAACCCTTTGTTGGTTAGTAGGTTTGGGAGGTATGGTTTTCGGGGGGTATTTTGTGTCCAGTCAAGCTATAGTATCTTCCTCCTCATTCACTGCCCTTGTTTAGGACTCCACTTGAAAACACACCACACACACACCCTGGTCGGGTGTTCTGAAGTGGTGAGGAAAAGGAGGAGTGGAAGATGGAGAGAGTCCCTAGAGAAGGAGGTTTTCCTGGTTCTTGTCAACGCCACTGAGGGAACAGCTGCCTCCGTTCTGAAAGGGTGTTCGTGTGTGCGCATTTGTGTGCGTGTGGCTGCATGTCTAAGCGCTCAAAGTATTCAGGGAATGGGGGAAATGATGAGGACTTGGGGTGAACTATGAGTGAACAGAGGCCCCTACACAAACTTTTCAGGCCCCCAAAAGACTGCTCATCTACCTGCTCCGTCTATTCTATTCTCTCCCAAACTGAAACAACACAACCTCACTGGGAAAAAGGTAAAGAAAACACTGCAGGTGAAAGAGAGAGACGTGGCTCATCTCATCTTCTCATATCTTTGAAAAATCCAATAGCTACAGGAAAGATCAGAGGTAGAGTGCATTGAGTAGTCACACGTGCGTCGTCGATACCTTGGCACAAATGCTAGAGAGGATGCAACACTTTGTGTGTGTGTACATGCACATACTGTATACGTGTACGTGTGTGCATGCATGTGTTCGTATGCATATGCGGGTGTACACACGGTGTGTGTGTCTGTGGGTGTTTCTCAAAATGCGTACTACCGTGCTCCGAGCATGCAAATTATAGAACGGTATGTGAAACGGAGCACGGAGGGCACTTCTCGGATGCGTACTCCGTTTGTAAATATTTTGAAGCATGCATCAATGCAAGCTTCAACGGAAAGTATGCACAGAAATATGACGCAAACACGTAAAAAACAACGCAACATTTCTTGAAATTATTTGAGCTGAAGTGAGAGAAAATAAACTCCAACTTCAGAATGAAATGTTGCCCATTCTCATATGTTGCCTAATGACAATATTTTATATTGATATGTTAATAAATACATACTGTGTTAATTTTGGCATGTTTACGTGCCTACAATGCCCACTGTAGTGTGCGTAAATTGCAAGCCAATAGTAAGTAAATAGCTTGCTACTACTGTTCGTTAGCTAGATAGCCACGAAGAATTGGTAGCTAGCTACCTACGAAGAATTTACATCTGCCTTGCATAACATTAGTTTTAGGTCATTTTTGCCTGTTTAACTAGCTGGCCAGCTAGATTATTAAAATTCACATATTGATAGCGGATTATTATGAAATAAAACATTTGTTTTGTGTATGTCTTGTTTGGTTTTCTGTTGTTGCCATTGTCCTGGCTGGAAGATGCTTCTCAAATGTTATGTTTTATGTGTTCTCCACACTTTCGTCCTCACAAGAACGTATTCAAGAGAACATCCTCGGAGAATGCACTCAGAGCATGAGAGTGTGGAGCACAGTAGTATGCATATTGAGAAACACCCTGTGTATGTGTGTGTGTGTGTGCCAGGATACACACACACACTCATACACACATACACACACCCCTACACAGTCCAACCAAGGTCCATGTATTGAAGAACAAACTGAATGTGCAACAGGTAATGCCGAAACATGTTTTAAGCACTCTTTTTATTCAACTTTATTTTTCCTTAAAGGCGCAATGTGTAGAAATCGCTCCGCCATTCCAGATGGAGGATCTTAATTTGATCACCCTGTTGCAGGATAACTTTCCTGCGATGCAGGACATTTTAAACTTGTAGTGTATTTGAGGTTTAAAAGGGCTTCTGAAGTTTGTAATTTCCACTTGATTTCAGACTTGATTTTCCCGTACGAAAAATTTATCAACCCCTACATCCATTCATTAGAATTCAAAGAACAATAATAGGACAGCACTCCGGTGAATAAACTTATATTGACATATTTTTATTGCCGCACGAACATTTCGGGTATGAACCCTTCTTCAGCGTGCAATGGCAATCAATGTCACAGCAACAACACCACACACAGGTGGGCATAATTATAAATTCTCAGTCAGTATTGACCCAATCAAGAGATCCCAGCAGAGGGAGCTGTGGGGGAAACATCAATAAATAAAGATACAAATATATAAGCACACAATACAGATACTGTACATTATGATGTCATTGCCTAAATGTTTGTCCTACATATTTATAAGTTAATACACAAAAAAACAAGAAAAATAACATTCCTTATTAAGGCCTGCTGAAGAAGGAGTGCCCAATATCCAATATGGCTGTCTTTGGAGAAGTAATTTATCCCTATCACCTTCCCTACGTGGCGCCTTCACCAATTCAATGCCCATATAATGTAAGGCACTTAGTTCATGATTATGATTATTGAAATGCCTGGCAACAGGTGATTTTTCATCATGGTTGTGAATGGAGCTCTTATGCTCACATGTCCTTGTCTTAAGTTCACGTTTGGTCTTATCCACATAATAAAAGTTACAGGAACACTTAAGGAGATATACAACATATATTCTACCTCAAACCTTTATCCTCTCGCCCGAATGGGGACGTATACGACAGTTCACTCTGATCATGGCATAACAGTAAACGCAGTTGTAACAAGGGAAATTGCAATCAGGAATGATACATATGAATGCAATGTTTTTTTCTTAGGAAAATCTGACCTTACTAAACAATCCCGTAAATTTGAGGGTCTCTTATAGAAAACCTCGGGGGGGGGATTCAAACGCTTTACCAAAGTTGGGGTCGCTGTGCAATATGTGCCAATATCTATTAACCACTTCCTTGATCAACCTTGAAATGGGACTGTAACCAAAGATGCAGAGGGAGGTGAGGAAGTCATTTGACGTGGTTCCAATAATACATTCCGCTCAGTTTGTCTTACTCTCTTCAGGCAATTGTTCAATAATTCTTCTTTATACCCTCTTGTTTTGAATCGTTCACATAAATCTTTGGCATGTACATCCAATGATAAATCAGAGTAACAAATGAGCCTAATGCGAAGGAGTTGGCTATATGGTAAAAATAAATGTTATGAAGGCGTATGATAAAAACTGAAATGAAGAAAGGTATTTCTAGCCGTTTCTTTTCTATACACCTCAGTGTGTGTCACGCCCTGGCTCTGGGGACTCTAGTATGTTGAGCCAGGGTGTGAGTTTTCATTTGTTTATGTTCTAGTTGTTGTATATCTATGTTGGCCAGGGTGGCTCCCAATCAGAGACGGCTGTAGCTCGTTGTCTCTGATTGGGAGTCATACTTAGGTAGCCGTTAGGCATTCATTATTTGTGGTTTCTTGTTCGTATTTGGTTTGTGTATGACCATTGACTGTCACGTCATCGTTTTGTTGTTTTGATCGTGTGATCATCAAATTAAATAAATATGTTCACATTCAACGCTGCGCCTTGGTCCTCATCTCTCACCGACGATCGTGACAGAAGAAACCACCATAACAGGACCAAGCAGCGTGAAGAAGAGAGAGGATGGACTTGGGAGCAGTGGAGTAAGAGTCTCGACTGGGCCAAGCCAAGCGAAGAGGAGAGAGGTTGGACTTTGGAGCAGTGGGGTGAGAGTCTGGCGAGAGACATGGAGGCCTGGTCCACGGGGAGAGACGCCCAGAAAATGTTTAGGGGGGGGCTAACGCCGTGGACGACGGGCCAGCAGGAGACCGCGGCAGAGCGGCCCAGCGGGTTGGCAGAGGAGGCCGCCAGGTTACGGGGGCCACTGGTCGAAGAGGGGGTGGAAGGTGTAGAGGCACGGTGAGAGGTACTGGGGTGTGTTACCAGTCCGGTCCGGCCCATTCCAGATCCCGGCGTAGGACCAGTGGTGTGTGTCCCCAGTACGGTCCGGCCCGTTCCTGCTCCCCGCACCAAGTCAGTGGTGCGCTTCGTCAGCCCGGCTCGGCCCGTTCCTGCTCCCCGCACCAAGTCAGTGGTGCGCTTCGTCAGCCCGGCTCGGCCCGTTCCTGCTCCCCGCACCAAGTCAGTGGTGCGCTTCGTCAGCCCGGCTCTGCCCGTTCCTGCTCCCCGCACCAAGTCAGGGGTGCGCTTCGACAGCCCGGCTCGGCCCGCTCCTGCTCCCCACACCAAGCCAGTGGTGTGCGTCGTCAGTCCGGCACGGCCCGTGCCTGTTCCACCGGTGGCTGGTCCGGCACCGGTCAGATGCTTCACGCCGGAGCTAGAGCAATCCGCTCCACCAGTGTGCAGTCCAGCTCCGGCCAGCGGGGCCAGACCGGACCAGGGGTACCTTGGGGGGTTGGAGAGCGAGTGGGGATCATGCCCGGAGCCGGATCCGCCGCCAAGGCGGAGTGCCCACCCGGTCCCTCCCCTGTGGTATTTGGTTGGCGCGGTCGGAGTCCGCGCCTTTAGGGGGGGGGGTACTGTCACGCCCTGGCTCTGGGGACTCTAGTATGTTGAGCCAGGGTGTGAGTTTTCATTTGTTTATGTTCTAGTTGTTGTATATCTATGTTGGCCAGGGTGGCTCCCAATCAGAGACGGCTGTAGCTCGTTGTCTCTGATTGGGAGTCATACTTAGGTAGCCGTTAGGCATTCATTATTTGTGGTTTCTTGTTCGTATTTGGTTTGTGTATGACCATTGACTGTCACGTCATCGTTTTGTTGTTTTGATCGTGTGATCATCAAATTAAATAAATATGTTCACATTCAACGCTGCGCCTTGGTCCTCATCTCTCACCGACGATCGTGACAGTGTGCAAGCCGTTGCCATATTTCTTAACCAATACATCCAAAAGGAAACATGTTCTTTATCGGATACCAACCTAAATTTAATGGACGATATCCTGGAATTCATATATGCATAGAATTCCTGCAATTCAAAATCATCACCTGACCAAATGAAAGAAATGTCATCAATATATCCAAACACTTTGATAAACTTAGAATAGGGATTTTTATTGTATACAAAGTCCAACTCAAATTCAAATTAGGCGCAACTGGGGATCCCATCCCATAGCAGTTCCTTGAATCTGAAGATAATAACAGTATTCAGACTTAAAGTAATTCTTAGTCAATATTTCATTAGTCAAGCTCAGCAGTAAGCCAGTTCAGTTCTTTGATTCAAATAATGTTTAATCGCATCTAAACCCTCTTGATGAGGAATATTTGCATAAAGGCTAGAAACATCCATAGGACACAACAAGTCATTCAAGTCAACTGTACAAGTCTCTAATTTCTTCAAAAAGTCTGTAGTGTCCTTGAGGTAAGGGGCCAACATATGCACCAAATATGAGAGTCCACATATTGAGAAAGTGGCTCAGTTAGGGATTGATTACCCGAAACAATTGGTCGGTCTGGGGGATTCAATACATCTTTATGTATTTTAGGAAGAGTGTATATAACAGGACACACTGGATTTTCTTGAACCATGTATTTATATTCGTCATTGGTGATCAATTCCTTCCGTAATTCCTGTTTTAACACACTCTTAATTTCACCCCCAAACCTCAATGGGATCCGATTGTAAAGTGATATAAAAGTTAGTGTCTTTCAATTGTCATTTGATTTCATTGACATAAGATGTCCTGTCCTGCATGACAATAGCACCGCCTTTATCTGTGGATTTGATGACTATTTCATCATCATTCATCAGTGTTCTCAATGCCTCTCTTTCACACTCCAAAGTATTGGAGTGTACTGGTGACCCTCTGCTCTGTGTGCACAATTCCAAGACATCCCGCTCAACCAGCTGGCAGAAAGTGTCGACTAACGGGTTGCCCATTGGTAGAATAAAAGTACTCTTGGGTTTGAATGTCTTTTTAATCATGGGAACTGGTTCCGATTGACTCATTCTGTTGAGTGAGATGGGGTCCCCTCAAATTACTTATCCAAAGAGAGACATATTGGATAGACTGCTCGGGCACTCTTGCCCCAGAAGGCCTCAATGAGGAATATTGTTGTTTTTTGTAGTAGGTTATAAATATGTAGGCCAAACATTTAGGTAATGATGTCATAATGTGTCTTTATTGTGTGTCCATATATCTTTATTTGATTGTCATGTTTCCCCCACAGCTCCCTCTGCTGGGATCTCTTGATTGGGCCAATAATGACTGAGAATGTATAATTATACATGTTTTTTATCTTTATATTCATTATAATCCACATAATAATTCACATTTCCTGTTTCTGCAGGATTATTTTTCTGCTGTAGCAAACTGGCTCAAATTAAGATCCTACATCTGTACCTGGTTGCTAAAATTATGAAATGTTCGCCTGCTTTCAGTTTATGTGACAAAACAAGCAATGTATAGTATAGAGAATCATTGTACCATCTAAACCACTGTGAAATATACTTTCAATAACAAAAAATATAAAATGTTCAGCTATTTGCAGCTGGTGAAAGTAAAAAGACGCAAAAAACTAAACCTTAAGACAGGAAGCATAGAAGTAGCACACATAGAATGGACCTACCGCTTATCAGACTTGCTTTCCATGAGAATGACAGATCTATAACTCACATTTCTATGTGAATTTGGTCGGGGCGCACACAAGCTACATATTGCGCCTTTAATCTGAACAAACACATTCCGTGTGACTGCGCAGTCGTGGCAGGGCAGAGCAGGGCAGTATACATTTTTCCTTGATATCCAAACGAGAGCACACCTCAGCAACTATACTTTACAGGCAGGAACTAGCTGACAGAGGCAGTAGGGTTTTGGATCCGACCCCACAGACCCAGGATGTCTCGTAGCTAAGACTGCGTCGTAAATATCATTTAAAACCTATTATCCGCCGGCCTAATTAACCAAGCCTTTTTCATCTAGCACATAGATATCCACTGATTCACACCTATAAAAGCCCTTGTTTCCACTCACACTTGCTCTCTAATGGATCCCTCTGGCTTTCCCAAGGTTGTCGTCCATTTTAGAGGGGGCTTGTTGATGGGGAATTTGATGATGTGAGCCGTTTCTGATGGAAGGATGACGTGTGTGTGTGTCTCCATACACATTAGATCTGAGGGAGGTTGGGGGGAGGGTAGTGTGTGATGCTCCGGTCACCATGGTAACCTTCATACTTACTTAAGCCCCCCCTCCAATCTTGTGGCTGGCCACATGAGTGCCTGTGGCCAGCTCACTCTTTGGGTTGGGGTCTTTTATGTGCTTGATATTAATGGTGTGTGTGTGAGAACTTCTAAGCAGCTGAACAAATATTTCCAAGACAGTAATACTCGGTTCATCTCTTTGGATATTTGCAGCCTACCGGCATGTATTGCGACCACTGTGGCATGCTATCATTCTCTTACTCTAATTTGGTCTCATTCATTCTCTCCTTCACTTCCTCACTTTACCCATCACTTACTCATTTTCCTTCCCTCTCTCCCCTCTCTCCCTCTGTTCATCATCCCTGTGCTTTATATACTATGCTGTGCCAGAGGCATGCTGACACAGTCCGTGACGCAGACACTCCGCTCTGTATCTCAGCTGTCTGGGGTACCGAGCCTCCTAAAAATACCGCCTCCCTCTCTCTCCCTTTGGGGGGAGGCCACCGCTGCAGACAGCTGTGTGTGTCTGTGGGTGGGCATGGTTTGCCCATCGGAGGCCTATAATTGTGGTGATGAGAGCAGGGTGGAAAGAAATCCAGCCAGGAGACAAGCGCCATGTTCCTGAGGTCAGCAAAGTAGAGGGTTCCTACAACACGACCCTGTGGCACCCCCTCACACAGCACCAATCCTCTGCCTATCCAAATACTGCCGGCCCCAGAAAGCACAGTGTGCTGTACTGCTTGTACCAAGCATACAGCTGCACTGGGAGAGCCATTCAAACTGTCACTCAGAAACGACATTAAAGATGCCCTGCCACAATGATAAACATTGAAGTTGCCACTGTCACAGACAACTTTGTTAACATTCGATCTCAGACCGATTCCTCTCAGTTCAACTACACAATGTTTACTGCATAAATGAACAATTTACACAGGTGGTTCAAGAAATTTTGACAAGTACGACCTAGACTTAGAGTACAGGGAAACACTCTAACGATAGCCTAAACAGATGGAGGTTGTTTCCCAAATGGCACCCTATTCCCTATATAGTGCACTACTTTTGACCAGGGCCCATAGAATAGGATGCCATTTGGGACACAGACTGAGTCACTGTAACCACGGGTCACTGTATCAATGCGCTAAATGTATCTATTTTCCGTCATCCAGCTGTGTGAGAGCGGGCAGATTGTACGGGTTCACGCGCCACACCCACACAGCCATCAACACAGACCAACGACATATCCTCCCCTCAGAACTAGAGTATCATTGTGTAATTGTGTATTACATTTCTCCGGTTCACTTTCACTACTACCTGACATGTGATCTGAGTTCTTCCTTTCTCTCACACTGTGTAGTTTGGGGGTTTCTATGGCCCTGTTTTTTGGAGCATGTTGCTCCCAACACCAGATTTGTGGCTTTGATTCCTGAATGTGAGGTTATGTGAGGTTATGTGTTGTTTACTGAATGTTTGGATAAAAGTGGCTGCTAAATGGCTAAGTACATTGCACTGTAAGTACTGTATGTGGTTCATAGATTGGTTAGCTGTCCCGAAAACGATACACACATTTCAATGGGTCAGATGGCCGTGTGTTGTAATTCTGGATGGCCAGTTAGCTAACAACATTGAGAAGAAGCTGCCATTTGGGGAATAATAGGTGGCTCGTTTCAGCTAGTCTGATCTTGTTCTTGATACCATGTCTTGTTTTGAGGTGTTTTGACTGTCACGTCTATGCTAATATGGCAAAAATTCGCTAGCTAGCTAGCTAACCAACAACTGTAACGATGTATTTGAGAGACAACAAGTGCTCATTGTGCAAATTTATTTATGTTTTCAATAAACATTGGAGATGAAATATAGTTTACATGTTGTCAACAATTTAAGCCAACCCTGTCTGTTTTGCCCCATAGTTGCGCACGCTTCGGTTTTGTTGCTAAACAACCAACCCGTCTATTGGTTCCCATGGACAGTACCAACATCAGCCTCTAGGTGGTGTCTACCAGTAGGTATGTTTAGGTTAGTCACTAAAGGTGATGATGGCACTGACTGCTTCTTGTCTCTCTCTCACTCTTTTTTTCTCTCCTTCACAGGACTGTGGTGATGCCCATCGCCAACGAGTTTGCCCCCGACGTGGTGCTGGTGTCGTCTGGCTTCGATGCTGTGGAGGGCCACGCGTCACCCCTGGGAGGGTACAGGCTGACGGCCAAATGTAAGTGACTTCCTCCTTTTCCCCTCCCTTTCTCTCCACCAGCCCACTGCTCATGAATGAAACGTATCCAGCCCTGTGTAGCTCAGTTGGTAGAGCATGGCGCTTGCAACGGCAGGGTTGTGGGTTCGATTCCCACAGGGGGCCAGTATGAAAAAGTATGAAAATGTATGCACTCGCTAAACTGTAAGTCGCTCTGGATAAGAGCGTCTGTAAAATGACTAAAATGTAAAATGTAAATGATGCTGCCCTACCATAGACAATGGCCTTGTTCAATACCATCAAAATGCGTCCTTACTTCCTTGAGGTAATTACTGATCTGACAAGGTTGGATTACTGAAAGCAATACAGTGGAAACCTACATTCACTTTTCCAATCACTAAGAGACAGTGTTGTGGACTCGAGTCACATGACTCAGCGGGCAGAGTCACCAATTTGATGACTTGAGACTCGACTTGATATAAAATAAAATAACTTGGACTTGGAGCCTCATGACTCGGGACTCGACTTTGACTTGAGACTGATGACTTTCAATTATCAGGCCAGGTTTTGTAATATTTTGACACTCATTTCGTGGCACAGAGTCTCCATGGATTACTCTCCATGCAGCCAGAGACAATAGCCGCAGCATCGCCTTCGCAAAAGAAACGTGCAACAAATTGGCTAGTGAAACGCACACTTGGCCCTCTGATTGGACCAGCAAACTGTCAATCAACACAGGTCGGGTGAGCTAGCGAACAGATTGCTGATTTGCTGTACAGCTATAGGATCGGGTGCAGCACAAAGGTGAAATTGTAGGGAGAGAGTATTGCCCTAATAAATAAATATGCAGCTTCAAAAATAGTTTAGTGATCAAGAATAATAACTGTTTACTTTGCAAGCTCACCAGCATGAAGCAACAATTAGGCCTACTTGCTGGTCTTTTGGTATCTCAAAATTGCTTGATATTTGTTGTTAAAATAAATTTTTACTGTGGTGAGGATGCACCTTAGGCGTGTCTCTCCACTTGCGCTCTCCAAACTCAAACACCATTGTTTGCTGCTGCTTTCACACATTTAAATGCATATGTGCTAAATCTATATTCCATCTAATCCTACAATAATTGCTAGCATTTAATCATTCCATACCGATACCGTTTATTGCAACACTTAGACATTTCTGTTTGATATTATACATTTTCATTTAGCCAACCCTTTCTTACCCTCTGAGTGGGCGCAAGGTTTATTTTGCACATGAATGTTCACAAGACTCATGAGGTAGAAGTTCTGTTTATTTAATTAAATGTCTGGTTTCCTTTGTTCATGTTTCCGGGTTATGTCGGAGTTCCGTGTGTCTGTGTCCTATGTCTCGATTTGGTTTCTCAAGGGGAGGCTGTGCAGTCTTGCCCTCTACCTGTGTACGTTCAGATAGGACAGGTTAAGGCTGATACAGAAGCTATTTCTTTTGGGCTGTGTATATTTTATAAATCTACTTCTATTTTTTGTATGATGTGGCTCTTTTACCATTGAATCACCAAGACCTGTCAATAAATCTACGGTCTGAGCACGTCAACCAGCTTTGCCTTCTGCTGATTTCATGCCCTTAAGACTGCTACAAGGTCCCTATTTTACAATTACATAGGCTAATCAAAATGTGTTGTAGACAGAATAATGAAAAGGGCTGTCTGATAGCCTCAATAAATAGGCGAAGATTTGCAGTCATTACATGTATAGATACATTTTGTACTTGACTTGAGATTTATCTTGAAAAAACTCAGCTAGCGTTAGCACAATCAGCTAGCTGATCCCATAGACTTCCAGTCATTGTGCTAATGTTAGTTATTAACCACTCCAGAAACTACCTTAACTTGTACGCAGAGACATAAAAATAGTATCCATGAGTTCATCTGAGTCTGGGTAAGTAGAAAAAATCTGCCACTATCCCTTCAAGAGAAAGGCTGCATTGATTTAAGTGTTTGAGCCCATGCTAAGTGGTAAATGCAGAAACACTAGTTCTGGCCATGAGGAGAAAGAGTCTCGCAAACCACACTTAAAAGTTAAAAGACACTGTGACTGGCCAGCTTGCGTATGTGCCATTCTGACAGATGACAAAATCTGATTTATTTTGCTGGGTTGATCTGAGAGGGCTTCAATAGCCTATGACAGTCTCTGACGAATGTTTACCAGACTCTAGTACCATTACCATACACAGTCCCACCTACACACACACACACGATCAGATCCAACTGTTCTGGCCCTGTCCAAGTAACCTCCCCTCACGTTCACAAAGCTACAGGATCGACTTTGTTTGGAAGCGTCTTTCTTTGCCCATGTAGAGCAGCACTCTGGCGTGCCAGCAAAGAGCTTTTCCTAAAACTATCTCTGAGATCTCAGCCTAAAGCTGGGGCTCTAAGAGAAGGGGGTCCGAGGAGGGGTTAGGGTGGTATGGCGGAATGCATATACTAAAACCCACAGAAAATCAAACACAGGCGGCCCGAGCCAAAACACTAAGCCACATTTATTAAAATTAAACCTGGCTCGTATTATGCATTTAGGCCGAGTAAATCCCTGGTGCCTTCTCTTTCTTAAATCTAAACGAGAAAATATGATGCAATACTGTTTTCTCCCTCCTCCTCCCCTCGCTTTCTGTATGCATTTCTTTGATCGCCGTCCAAGCGCCAGAGTCGCCATGGACGAACTCTAACCCCAACCACTGGCATTTTCCTTTCCTCAGGTTTTGGATACCTGACCAGGCAGCTAATGGGGCTAGCCGGAGGCCGTATGGTACTGGCCCTGGAGGGGGGCCACGACCTCACTGCTATCTGTGACGCCTCCGAAGCCTGCGTCTCTGCTCTGCTAGGAATCGAGGTAAGACTTGAGAGCGAGGGAGGGAGGGGTTTCTTTAATTGTTTTCATTAATTTGCCACTCCACCTGTTTAGGGAAACTGTCTCTACACATCCAGTCCAATCAGGAGGTGAGAATAGAGCTCAGACGGTGCTCTGATTGGGTGATTTTGCTGTCTTTCTGGGCCGTTGTCACAGTCAGAGGTGTGGTGTTGAAAGGGCTTTGGCCCAATGCCGCCGCCCACTGAGAGACAGAGCGAGAGAGAGAGAGGGGGGTGGAGAGGCGAAAGAGTCTGGAACAGTGAGTTGACAGAGAGAGATACTGGGGACCCTGCTTTTTTATTTGCCATCCTCGCTTTCTCTTCATCCCTTATCCATCCATCCCCTCTCACTTTCTGTCCCCACCGCCCAGTGTGGGAGGATACAACCGCCAAGTGGCCAGGGAGAGGGAGGAAGTAACAACGGTCAAGTTGAAGAATCCGAGGTTAATTGTGGATGTGTGTAGGCTGGGCCTGGAGCTGAACCAACTGTCTCTCTGTGTCCCATATAGCATCCTATTCTCTATGTAGTGCACTAATTTTGACCAGAGTGTTCTGTCTGCTGTGATTCATGGCACACGCCCACTGTTTTTTTCCTAAGATAATGGATGGAGTCTAGTGTTTTCTTGGCCATGGCTTAGATATAATTTCCCCCTTTGATTCCAAGATAACATGCTTTGGTGCTTTGAATATCTTTAGCGTAAGAATACTGTAACCAAATGAGAGGAAAGTGTATGGTTGCTTTAGTGTCTGTCTGTGTGTGTCACCGTAATAGTTTCAGTCCTTAGTACACATATGTCTACTGTACACTTTGATACACGCATTTGTGGTCTGGTTTCTGTCCTCATACATTTCAGTCAGCCACTTTTTTGTTAATCAAGACAAATGACCTGAGAAAGACCCTGAGGACTTGTGATGTGGACACCAGCTGAAAGGCATAAGGACCATAGTGTCCTATCTAAATATTGAATAATGAATAATCCACACTTGAAATAAACAGAAATATTGAAAGACAATAAAATGGGTTGGCTCGTGCTGACCCTTGGCTAGTACTGACCTGTGGCTAGTATACACAGACGAAGTGCTGATGTCATGTCTAATACCGAGGGGGTGCAGAGGCTGAAATAGAACCTCCGATAGAAGTGAATTTCCAGGCCCCTGCGTCCTGCGTTTGTATAAACTTCATTTATTTTGAGCAAGTGACTGTCTCTAAGTGTTGCTGCAGACCGACCCAGGCCACAAACACATACCCTCTATGTGTTTTCTGTCGTTGGACAAGGGTTGTGTCCCAAAGGGCATCCTATTCCCTATATAGTGCACTACTTTTGACCAGAACACTATTGGTCCCTGGTCAAAAGTAGTGCACTACATAGGGAATAGGGTGTCATTTGGGACACAGGCAAGGAGAGAACCTGCTTTAGCCATTTGCCAGTTAGCCCAGTGCAACGTTAAAACCTCCATTAACGAGAGGCGTATGTGGCTATAACTCATAATGTACCGCCTCTTATTACACGCAATACATTCACCCACACCTGTCTAATAGTGCACCAAAGAGTGGTGTATAAGTGCATTGTTATTGTTGTAAACCTGTAAACTGAATACTGCCGCATGATTAAAAGTCAAGTAAACAGTAGCTTTGGCATTTCGGTTTACCTTATAAGATCATACCTTATAAGATCATATAGTGGGTAACAAATTTGGAGGCACCACTGGGATTTATTTTCATGTACGCACCGGCGCATATTACTCTAGCAAAACGGACAACGAGTGAGAGACATTGGAAGAGTAGCTAGCTGGCTAACCATGAAGATAAGGATGTACATGCATGATGATTATTGATGCACACTGTTAGTATTGCACTAGATGCTGGCGAAGTTGAGTATAGATAGAGGATAATGCTAGGAAGAGATGGACTGGGGGATAAGAGGACTGGCTTGGGTGCCTGTGTTATTCCAGCCCTCCCTCCAGACAAGGCAGTAAATAAGCTCTTGGAACCGTAAAAGACCAGATGGCCCTGCTCCAATGTGGATCTTGGGCCCGAAGCAAAACAAACAGAACAATAATGCTGGATCGACGCTAATAAAACATGGTCACCGCAACCAACCGCCCCAGAGAAAGGGAAAGCAGTGACCGACTGGTTTTTCAGCTTCGATCTAGAGTGACCGGGACAAGCTGTGGCGTTGGAGAGGTCGAGTGGATCGCGGTCAAACCGTTCTAAACCCTCCAAAGAAACCTCAAAGCCTGGAGAGGAATTTAAGCCCCACAGCAGACCAACGCTAAACTGTCAGAAGAACTAGATCTTAACAGTTCTGAGCTGGAACAAGGTTTGCTTTGGAGGGGGGGCTACACAAACGTTCTGTTGAGCCTTAAAGGGCAATCAGCAGTAGAAACAATAACAAAGTGTTGGCCCCGCCCCTGTTTTGGTAAAAAGCAAATTCATAAACAGAGCTATGGATGCAAGGACAAGATATCAAAATGATAGTTTTAACCATGTTTTGAGACTATATAATGTTTGTTTACATTTACTTTGATTACAAATATAAAACAAGCTTATATTTTGGGTGCTGATGGGGTGAGACAGTTGAACTAGGCTCATGAGGGATTTATAAGCAATATTCTTCAAGAATCAATGGGTACATATCATTAATTTATAAGTCCAACAATGGATGTTGCAACTGCTGATTGACCCTTTAATGCAATAACCTTAATCTGTTTACCTGCACTGGTGCCTTTGAATGACTCGGAGGTCATTGCCATGACAGCGATTACAGTAACATCACACCGGTAGCCTCCAACGCCACTCTCCAAATCCCTTCTCTTCCAATTTACCACTGAGAGTAAAGGCTTGGTTTAATACATGGAGGCATGAAGGAGGGTAGAAAAAGAGGAGAGCGAGAGAAGGAGAAGAGGAAGAAGGGAAGGCTGCTCCAGAAAAGGTTGGGGTTGGGACGGTCTCATGTTTCAGTGGCCAGGAGAGAGGGCTGTTTCGTGGGGTCGATGGGCAGGTCAGAGCGAGTCTGGAAGTCTAAAAAGAGGCCCTGGCCCTGTAGCGCTCCCTTCTCGCCCTCCTCCCCGGGACCCCGTCACCAGCCCACATCTGAAAGCGGTTACCATCACACCTCTCCCGACAGGGTCACCAACAGGCCTAGAGAGATCGGAGAATCAAAGGAAATTGGGGAATCATTTGAAGTCGGGGGAGGAAGCTATTGTCATAAACCAGCGAGCTCTAGGGTTCGAGTTTCACGCCGGATGTTGGGCTAGAGGAAAAACGCAACGCCACAACACCCATTGATAAGGAGTTAGAAAACACACGGCTCATTAGTCGCCTTTGACTGGCCATGAGCCGCCGCCATATTTAAACACTGGTGATTGGCCAATCCCACTGTGTTTTTCATTGCCTCTTCTCATTGGGTGTTTGGCAAGAGCCCTGTCAGTCTTTGAACAAGTGCAGATCAGTCCCTCGTTAGTGTGATGAGTGATGACCCGTTCAACAAGTTGTAACGGCACGAGAGGGAGAAACGCAAGGCAGTGGAGACGATAACAGATAAAAGGAGAAAGTTAAAACGTCTCTAATCAAAATGGCAGGATGCGAGTGTTTTATCAGAGTCTTTGCAAAAGGTCCAGTGTAATGGAGGTGGAATGCAGCGTAATGACTCTCGCCAGCGGCAGTTTGATGTGGCAGATAGAGAGGGGGAAAGGGGTTTGTGTGTTTGTAGATGTGAGCGTTAGGTAGAGATGAAGGGGCCATGTGCCAATAGGTCAGCTAGTCTGCTGCTCTATTTGTTTGTGAAGTCAGAGGCAGGGCTTTCAGTTATTCGAGCAACACAACTAAAATGTATTACCAACAATGATCATTGGTCTCTCATTGGCCTAAGAATAAGATCTCAAATGTAGACATACTAGGAGTTAAGACAGGTCCACAATCGGGGCCAAACATCTAGATTGGGTTTACTGTCCCACTGCTTCCTGTGTGACTGTAGTCTGTCCATCAAGCATTTTACTGTCCACTCCACAGTGAGAAACATATTCCCCCATTTTATTGCCAGGTTAAGACAAGCTTTGCTATAATGAGCGCTGGGTTCCCTTTGAAAGTTGCTTGGATTAGCTTGGGGGGAAAAATGAAAAAAATCGGTGAATCGACTTCACGGTTTGAGTGCATAATCACCAAAGCCTCTCTAATAAAATGTCTCATGAGTGATGCATTGGCGGCGATGTTAGTCAACTCTGACCTCATGACTAATTGACAAATGTGCGCAAACAGATGTTGCGCCCCCTCCTCCAAATTGTGGTCGTTAGCAATTATTTGATAAACAACAGGCTAATACGGCTAGTCGCTGATGAGGTTATCCCTGATGTTTACACTCTAGCTACAGTATGCATGATCCGTTTCACCTGGCCCTCTCAGGCTTCAGCGTTTCACTCCCTTTAGCGAACAGAAAAGTACCGACGCCGCATAAAAAGTCACCTGCTCTGCTTGATAACTAGTTAGCTCGTTAAATTAGCACAAACGTAATCAACTGGTGTCAGCGGTCGATCCTTCGCCCTGACCAAGCGACCAACAAGTCAAATTCCTTCCACCCAGTGTTACGGTTTCACTGCCTTCCCCAGAATGTTTTTTTTATTCCGGGGCCACATTCCTTCAGCGCCTCTGGTTCGCGTGGCGTCTCAAATTTGTTGGCTTCCCCCTCATGCGTTTGAAGGCCGTGCCATACACTCAAACAGACAGACTTGGATTTATGCAGGCAAGCAGCAACGGACAGAGTGATAGTATACCGTCCTCGAACAAAAGCTCTTCTCTCTCTCTCTCTGTTGGAAAAAGGCAATGTTTCTCTCGCTATGAAGATGGAGAGGTGGGGTTAGAAACTCAAATAAACGCCCTGAGTCACGGGGGATGCTGTGGGGAGCGCCGTGTGTGTCATACCTGCCAGGCAGGCCCGTAGCGTGCTGACAAGAACCATTAAAGTTTATAGGCGTGCGGCACAGCTGCTCGTCAAACTGACAGACAGACAGCCCACCGAGCCCCCCGGCCTGGCCCCGTGTGGGGACCCCCTCCCTGGCTATAATGCCAGGCCAGGCTGGAGACAGGGGGTCTCTGGGGGTAGTAATGGGGTAGTGGAAGAGGAGGAGGAGGGGTAGTGGTGGAGAGATAACTGGGCTGCTAGGAACTGGAAGTGATCCACTGAAAACCACAAACACAGTAGCGGGCACACATTCATGGAGCTTGGCTGACTCCTGTGAGGAATGAGAGAAAATAAGATAAAAACAAGGCCGAAGGATGAGTGATAGGGACCGAACTCAGCAGTATTTGAAAGGTTTAGTAGTGTGTCCCACCTTTTTTAAGGGTCCCTCTATTTGGTGGGCATCACTTAGGGCTCTCCGGTGGCCTGGTATAAGTGACACCCAAATTGAACAGGGGTTGGGCAGCCCCAGCCCCTGTTCTTAGTCCTGTTTCCTCAAAAGGTGCTGGAATTGCATGACAGCCATCCATGTTTACCACTGCTGCTCAACTTAATGCAGTGAATGATAGGGCAACAGTGTGTGTGTGTGTATGTGTGTGTACATGCATATGTGTGTGTGTGTGTGTGTGTGTTTGTATGTTTTACAGTACCGCAGAACATTATGTGCTACTATACAGCAATGCAGGTTCAATTGAATTGAGCCCTCCCAAGGTCTTGTCATGTTTTGAAAGAAGATTATAATATGTAAGGGTGCAATGAAGGGGCAAAGGGGCTAGAAAATGTTGCGTGAGTGAGAGTGCAAATGTTTGTGCACGTGTGTGTACACATGCGTGCTTGCAAACTTACTTGCCCACTTTGCTTGCGTGTGCGTATGTATGATGAAGCTTGTCGTGCCACAGACGGATTAAAGTATCCCTCTCCCTAGACTGGCCTCTCCCTTCGCCCTCCTCACCTCCTCCCACCCTCTATTTGTTTTAATTAAAAGAAAACTTCCAGCCTTGGCCGAACGGGACCGACCGGCCATCCCTTTTTCCTTCTGGCATTCTCTTCTTCCTTCTTCTAATGTTTCTAGCTCCTCATCCACTTTTCAGTTTCGAGCAAGGTTTTGATAGGGCAAAAAATGCAGCTGCCTGCCTTATTTCTTTCGGTGTTTATACATAGAAGCATTTGGGTTTTTCGTTTTTTTGGAGTTCTGCTCACAAGGTGAAAAAAAGCAGCACACACAGTGAGCCAGAGGGAAATGGAATCGTTCCGGATTGGAAAGGCAGCTTGGGGAATGCCCTGTTTCCTCTCTCCTCTCCTTCATGGCTTCATCTGACTCCGAACAGAGTATTCCCATTGTGTGTGTGTGTGTGTGTGTGTGTGTGTGTGTGTGTGTGTGTGTGCGTGTGTGTGCGTGTGTGTGTGTGTGTGTGTGTGTGTGTGTGTGTGTGTGCGTGTGTGTGCGTGCGTGCGTGCGTGTGCGGGTATATTCACTGTGTATGCATGAATGTGTGTGTATGCTGTATGTGTGTTTGTAAAGTGGGACCCAGCACAAAGCACACATTGTAGCCTGTGGTGGAGAGTGGCTCCTCGAGTGGGAGGCTGCAGTGCATCTGTGAGCCTATTGTTATTGTGTCCAACTGTTCTCCACCGCTGGGCTGGCTGGGTGATTCAACACTGGGCAGAAGTCCACAGTCAGAGGTAGTCATCCACACCAAGAGGGGGAAAAGTATTATTATTCTGCTATTGCTGTGTTGAATGTAACCTGTCACAAACTCCAGTGTGTGTGTGTCTCCCCAGTTGGACCCTATCCCTGAGGAGGTGATGCAGCAGAGGCCCAACCCCAACGCTGTCCACTCCATGGAGAAGGTGCTGGAGGCACACGGTGAGTGTCGCTCTACTCTACTCACACAGGAAATAGTCCCACTGTATGGGCTACAACCACCAAATGATTCCGGGATTTGATTTGCAAGTGTGCATTTACCATAATAAATCTCAATGATGGTCTTAGATCAGAAAAGAAAAACAGCAGCACTCGGCCCTGGATGACTGAAGTTGTTTGACCCCTACTGTAGTTGCTCTATGTTATAATCATGATCCTTTAACCTTTCACCTTTGTCCTGTCCTGTAGGTAAATACTGGCACTCTCTTCAGCGTGGGGCCTCCACGCTGGGCTACTCTCTGAGCGAGGCTTTCCGGTGTGAGACGGAGGAGGCCGAGACCGTCACCGCCATGGCCTCCCTCTCTGTGGCCAACAAGCAGAGGAAGTACGTCCCTCCTGAAGCGTGTGTGTGTGTGTGTGTGCGTGCGTGCATGCATGTTACGCCGAAGGTCACATCGACCAAAAGCTTAGCTCTTCAGTACTATAAAAAAACATTTAGATCCAACCTAAATGTGCAGAGGCTTTTGAGACTCACTCACTAGTCTCAAACCTTCCTGCAGTTGACATGTGTAGTGTGGGAGTGCTGCCTGTGACGGCTGTCATTGTCCCTTCTTTCTCCAGGAGCGAGGAGGAGCCTATGGAGGGCTGACCAAGCCCCCTTCACCATTCAGAGACCCTCAAGGTCTCCCATTTAATACTCAGCCAACCTCCGTTTCAATTTGACCCCACCCCTTGGCCCCACCCGCGCCCTGTCTAGGGGGACAGGGGGCAACGTAGAGCGAGGACTGGGTATGAAACAGAAATGGAAGATGTCACTATCTCACTCGCCCGGAGTGGACGGACTAAAATGCCCCCGATGTGTTGTACCGTCTCTATGTGGGGAGGCAGAACACAAGGAGCCCCGGGTTGCAAGGTCTTGTCAGGTCTTTGCTCCAGGACCAGTGGGATCTAAGGTGACGTTAAACCATCCCACGCTGGAAACATTGAATATCTGTGCTTTTCTGGAACAGACACACTCTCTACGTTCGAAGTACCGCTCCAGACACAGAATTTTTCATTTAGCCGTCTCCTTTATTTTTATTATTTTTGTTGTTTCTTCGTTTTTCCTCTTCCTTTCACTGAAAAAATAGCAACAGAGCCCTGTGATGTAATTACGACTTTGTTTACGAACATTTGATTGTTACCATTCACGAAAGACTTTGAGAAAGGAGAGATGTCACAGGGTTTGCTGATATTTTTGGTGAATTTTTCGATTGGTAAAAGCAGGCAGTTTTTGCAGAAGAGGAAAGGTATAAAACGAGGAAACGAGAGAAGGAGAACACGATGGACATGTGACCTGGGGCCTCATTTTTCAAAGGTGCGTGCGCACAAAAAATACTCTAAACCTTCCGTGCGCCAGTTTTCCTGCGAAGGTTGGTATTTATCAATTTTGAACTTGAAGGGAAAGTGTGCGTATCTCCACTCAAATCTCAGACCATGCGTACGCACAACTTCTAGTGGTTGATCAACTGTATTGCGAGCAAATATTGTTATTATGGGGGAAATGTAGGTGTTTGATGCACGGGAATTACAATAATGGTAGGCTAATAAAAACATGAAAACATATAGGCCTAATGATAAAACATATGCATTTGCCATTGGTAAGGAGATCACATAGCAGCATCTCGCCTTATATTATTTTACTTTTATTATATAGGCCTAAATCATAATCATATTGCAGGACATGTCTCTCCTTTTCTGACATGACTGGTTTATTCCCGCTACACAACAAATATTACGCTACAATCCATTGCTCATTCGATAGCCAAGCCTGCTCGACAGTAAATAGACCGATAGTCTATGACAGTAGGCTAAAGTATTCTTGTGCAATAGGAGCGCAACATAATAGCCTATTTATTCTCAGAGACTATGCCAAGGCAGGAGATCAAACACAATCATGTATGGATAAACAAAATATTGAACAACAATTCTTATTTTGCATAGAAGTCTGGGCTCTAGGCAGCATTTTCTTTTAAATTGTTCAATAGACAATCAATCTTGAAGAATACACAGCCAGTGTTTGGCACTCGCTATAGTTTTAAAATGTCACTGCAAAAGATTAAAACATTCTGCCCACACATATACAGAAATGTGATCATTGTCATTACACTTTCTTTTAGCGACTATCATGGCCCAGTTCCAACATCTCCAAATCATACAGCAAATGAGGGTGTTTTTGTTACCATAAAAGTGCGTTTTCCAGGCGGGGTTGTAACGCTCGTTTACGAACGCACAAATATAGTATGGCTCTGATTACTCAATGAAAACATGCGTATATGTTGCGTACAACAGTTAGATAAATCCCAATAATTTGTTGCGCACACAAATCCTAGAATGTCCATGTATGGCAGAATTTTGTAAGAAATGTACGCAATGGTTGATAAATGAGGCCCTAGGTCTTCTGGTTTGAAATGACAGACTGTAAAAAGACTGAGTTTGTGCCTTTTTAATTCCTGCCCGGTGGATTTCACAATGAACTCAAGACGAAGAGCTTTGCCTTAAATGAGTTTTGGGGGGAGATAGGTGCCCTCCTCTCGCTCTCACGTCTCATCCCCTTTTGTTGTAGTGAGACTGGCAATGCCGACACGAAGGCACATAGACAGGAGGCCCTTGGCATGTTTACCTTGACTTCCCTGTAGCCTACTGTCCCACCCTGTTCCCTTTGACCTTGTTATCAGTGCTTGACTTGGGCAGGAGCTCAGCTGAGTACCGGCACCTCAAATGTTCTACTGCTTGAGCTCCTGTTCCTCTTATAGAATATTAGCTCAAAAGTATTGTGGAGCTCCTGCATCTAAATATAAAGTACTGGCACCTATTTCAGTCCAAGTCAAACACTACTTGTCGTAACCCCTTTACTATCATTTAGAAGGTAGTTGCCATGCTACACAGGGACTAACATGGTTGAGTCTTTTTCAGTGGAACGAGAGCCATCAATGTTTTAAACATCAGCCAATGATGTAGCTATCTTCTGGTATATAAACCCTTTACCAAATACACGCCACCTCTACGAAAGAGTTAGCTAGCACGCACTGTAGTCTGTACTAGAGAGATTTGCCATCTTAAACTAGAATGCTGTTCAAAAGCAGTAGTAGTAAGACAAGAAATTATGCCAAAGCATGACGTTGCTATCAGCTCAATAGTCTGGTGCCGCGTAGTATTGTAAGCATATAGGACAGATATTGGTATCATGACTTTACGTTCGAGATTGTTCTCTGTGAGGGAATTATAACAGTTGACCCATTTCTATCTTACACACCTCACCCTTCAAAATGTTGTAATGTCACAATGTTCAGACGATCTTACCATAATTTAGGGGCAGTATCCACAATTAGCCATTCATTTGGCTTTGTTCACAAAGATCAACAATCATAAAGCTCATGAGTCTTTGTGTTACCATGGTGACAGAGCAGTTAGACAGAACAAAGATAAACAATCAAATATCTTGAGTCTTTGTGTTACCATGGTGACAGAGCAGTTTGACAGACTTGTACCACCTTTGTGAGTTTACAGAGGGGAGCAAGCGGTACCCATATTCTCTGACATCTGGTCCACGCTCCTGGTTAGGTACAGCTGCTCCCCAAGTGTCAGGTGCTACTGAGTGTGTGTGTGTGTGTGTATCACATGTCACAATCCAGTAAACAAACCTTTTATACATTGACACAGTTGTCATAGCTACTGCTAGATGTGTGTTTTTAGGTACAGGAAAGTATTTTTAACCTTCTGTGTGAGACACATGAAATAACTATATCTCTAACTACATACATTTGACTTAGTTCTCAAACACCTATAGCTCAGAATATGGAGAATGAATGATAATATGATCCGAATACAGTGTATTGAAAACCCCCCAACTCATGTTTAGCCTCTTGGCAACTATCTTCAACATTGTTCCATTGATGTCATAATCACTTTTTTCTGCTGTTGGTAAAGGAGGAAGAACTGAGAAGATTCTGCATTGATCTTTCTTTGAGATGTTTCCACCACGATTGTTTTGATGACTACTCCATTAGTGTTGTTTTTACCCATCTTTGTCTTTTTTATTTGTTTCTGTTTTGTCCTTGTCTTTAGAAGTGGACTCCAGTGTCTTTGGTTTTTGTACTTTTTATTTTTTTTCCTGTCATTTTGTATTATTTGGAGTTCTTTCTCTCTGTTACACTTTGTACAGTTGACTTGTCTCATGACCAAGTGAGAGTTCAGTTCCTTTTCATGGTGGAAGGTTCTGGGGTTGTGAGGGGAGGGATGGGGTTTGCAAATATTTCTACTTTGTATAATGATTCCAACAATTGTGTATTTACTATACTGGCTGTTCATGGTAGATTTATATATGACAACAAATCTATAAGTATATTATATATTATAAGATATTACAATCTTGTTTTGGGAAAAGAAAGTTAGTATTGCAAGGTGATATGCTCATGTTTCATTCCCTGGTCTGGTTTGGCCCTTCTTGGTGTCGCTGAGGGCACTGTTCATTATTACTGGCTGCCATTGGCTGAGGGTTCAGTACAGTAGCATCCCATTTGTTGTCGGTTTCTCTACAGTATACACCACTGACCTAGGCTCTATTCATACTTCCTGACACTACTTAGAGGAGTGGAAAGGCTGTTCCCAAACAAGGGCTTAGGGAAAGGACAAGTCGCTTGTCTCTTATATTTAATTTCCTTCTCCATTAAAACATTGTGACAACCCACCCATGTAAGCATGGGGTTACAGTGCAAAGATCACTGGAATTTCACTCTTACATAGGCAACACTTTCTGACCCGAAACCAAACACTCTAGCTATGTTTGTAAAACCTTCTGTATACTATCTAAGGATGTGTAATTCAGAAGCAGTAGAGGTGCGTGGGTAAAATCACTGGGGAAGCAAAGCCAGGGGAAAAAAAGCCATATTACAACCTGTGTTCTGATAATTGCGTTGTTTGCTCTATAACCTGCTAGTTCACATTCCTTGCGACCGTGATATATAGGCCTGAGGCCGAGACAATAAGAAGACACAGTGGCAGAATAAATTCAACCACACATTTGTTTCATCACAAAACCGGAGAGCAACATCTGTATGGTGAAGTCCACAAAGCATATTGTATGTAACAAACAGTTACATGACCTACAGCATGGTCAAGCAAGTTAATGTTTCTGACATTTTCGGACTGCTAAACAACTATTGATTTAGAACACCAGAGAGTTACCGCAATTCGCAAAGAAAACAGGAGCTGGCTCCACTATTCCAGTACCATTTCAACATCATCAAATCACCTATGCTTAGTCTAATACAGTGACAACTAAAAGATTCCAAAAACAATTTAGTCCAATCAACGTAAGCTAAATATCATGTGGCTGTCCATAGTACTGATTTCTCTCTCTCTGTGTGTGTGTGTGTGTGTGTGTGTGTGTGTGTGTGTGTGTGTGCGCATGCATGCGTGCATGCGTGCGAGGAAGTAGAAAAAACATGTTGACTCACCCTACTTGTAGAGAAACCCCAATGCCATCCTCCTCTCTTGCCGAAACGGTTTATTACATTTACATTTTAGTCATTTAGCAGACGCTCTTATCCAGAGCGACTTACAGTTAGTGAATACATATTTATTTTTTATACTGGCCCCCTGTGGGAA